TTTATCTAGTGCTGGGCTGTGTCTGCAGAAATTTCTGGAGAGGCAAAAGTAGTAGTGCCTGCCCTTGCACTCAATGTGAACCAAGTAGCCTGCTGTGTTCTGTGTGACCATGGCAAATAGGACAAGTAATTTTGTTTGGAAGGGAATGGAAAAGGCTAACAGAAAACAAAGTTAGGTGTGCTACAAGTTATTATGGGTTTTATCGTGACGCTACATATATATTTTGTTTCAGTTTAAGATCTTTAATAACACGTGTGTTAGTAATAAGCCAAGCGTGCAGTGGATCAAACTGCTGGCCATGTCCGTGTGTTCTAACTTTAAATCATTGGATTGGATAACAAGTTATACTGACTTTGCACTAGATACCATGCCTTACCAAACATGTATTGCACTTTCTGTTCTACCTAGATCATATCTTTGAGGTTCATGTGGAGGAACTACAAGAAACACACACACAAAAAAGTACACAATCTTCACTTTTATTGTGATGATGAAAATGCGTACAAGCATTCAGCTGCCCAAATGAAAGCAAATAAGCTAAACAGAAATCTCAGCTATAGATGCTATGAGGATATGGGATATGGCATAGTATAGTTTTAAGTTTTTGTTTTTTCCTGTGACTTGCTATATTTAGAGTAATCTTGCCTAATAATCCAATAAATGATGCTTATCCATTTATAACCTTTCTGATCACTGACTAATTATTAGCCAACAGGCTGCACTTATTAGCTTGTCCGCTACAGCTAGCTTTCTTATCTAGGAAATGTGCACAGAGAAACATAATCTTACACACTTTGCACTAGGCTGTGTTACCAACATGTATATATTCATTTTTTCACTAATTTATGCTCCTAATAAAGTATGATATTTATGGTGACAATATTATATATTTTTTTTTACGACGAAAGAAGAATTATATTAGATAATAGTTAGGTACATCAACACGTTACAAGCTGTTAGACCTTGATCTGCTGGGGAGAGGACGTAGGGCGTAGGGAAAATAAGTGGAGGAGGGGCGTGAGCGCCGGTGGCGTGCTGGCGGCGCCGCGGTGGTGGCGCTGGTAAGGCCAAGGGCATGGCCGCGGCACGACGATCGATCTGTACGCGCGCGCGAGCCACATCGCGCGCTGGAGGTCCTGGTCGTGCAACTCAACGTCCACACGAAGGGCCTCAGGCAGCCCCCCCGTGAACAACTGGGCCTGTTGGAGAGGCGCCAGGCGGCCGGCATGCGCCAACCGTGCCTGGAACTCTTGCATGTAGGCGTCGAGGGAGTGGAACGGCAGCCGCGCCAAATCGGCGAGATGGTTCGTGCTGAGGGCGGGGCCGAACCGATTGTGACAGAGGCGCTTGAAATCCTCCCACTGAGGCTCCCCAGCGTCACGCTCCAGGATGTGGTACCACTGTTGGGCAGCGCCATGGAGGTGGTACGAAGCGAGCCAAACCCGGTCCACCGAACGGGTTTGTTGGGCGCGGAAGAACTGTTCACACTTGTTCAACCACCCCAAGGGATCCTCCGAGCCGTCATAGATAGGAAAGGTGAGTTTGTGGTATTTGGGAATGGCGTGACCCTCGGGGTCTGGGGGAATGTGGGTTCTGGGCGATGGTGAGTGCATGAAGGCGGAGGATAGGGTGGAGGGGTGAGGGTGGATGGATGCGCCCTGGAGGATTGAAGACATGGATGGGAGTGGTGATGGCGACGACGGAAAGGCGATCTGAGTGATCGGCACCCCCGTGGACGGTGGCGCAGAGGGGCCGGAGGAGATCGCTGTGATGATCGGGCGAGATCCCGGCGGCAAGGGAATGCCACCAGAGTTGGGAGGCCCAGGTGAACAATGATGCAGTGGGTGATGGCGCTTGGCGGAGCGATGGACCACTGGTCTCTCATTTGTCGGCATGTGGCGATGTCGGTCTGGCCGGTGGTGAGCGCCGCCATCTGCACCTGTATCCCTTGGATGGCCTGGGTCATAGCTGCGAGTGTGTCGGCGAGGGTGGCCGGTGCACCCGGCGGTTGCGAGGACAGGGGCAAGGTGGTGGTGGGAACGAGGGCGGCGGAGGTGGCTGGTGTGGTGGTGGATGTCCCAGAGGTGGCCATGGTCTTTGATACCAGGTTGTTAGACCTTGATCTGCTGGGGAGAGGACGTAGGGCGTAGGGAAAATAAGTGGAGGAGGGGCGTGAGCGCCGGTGGCGTGCTGGCGGTGCCGTGGCCGGCGCTGGAGAACGAGAACAACAGCTCAGACGGAGACAGTAGGGTTTGGGCGCCCAAGGGTGACAGGAAGTCACAATCCCAGGCTGATTATTCCTTAACCATAGTTTAGGCTATATAGACCAGCGATTACAAGGAAACAAACTATCTCTCCTTAATTATCTCACATGCAAAACTAACTCAATCACTTATTTTAGGAAAAGAACTAATCGCTGCATGCGAGCTGGGCTTGGTCGCTGCATGCAGACGCCCTGGCCGTTCCTAGCCACTCGCCTGATCCGCTCGATCCGCCCGATTCCTACGCCTGTAGGTCGTGCCCACCATAACACAAGCACTCTGGATTACACAAATATCCAGAAACTGGTTTTCATCTAAATTATACCCACACTGTGAATAGCTCCAGATCTCAAAACCAAACTTGTACAACGTTTTGCAGTATGGATGACCACACAGGCAAACACTCGGCAAAAGGCCCGCGAACAGATGCCCAACGAACAACGGCCAACATTCATGTAGGTGGAGTTGAGAAACTTCTTTCTGGTGTCTTCCTTCTTCTTTCTGCCACCGAAGAATGAGAAAGACCGATCTGAAACTTAATTTCCCTAGTCCTTCATTGTGGCCAGATATAACCACGCTAAAACGGAGAAAAGACAATAGAAAATTATTCCGTGGTGGCGACACCATCTCCGCCTTGGTGTCGCCGTCCGGAAATAAAAGTCTACATATCATACTGGTGCGGATGTTGACGCCGTAGTTGTTGCCCTCATCTTCAACAGAGCCGCCATGTAGAAAACGATTCCATCATGTCCTCTCACCGTCGCCGAAGAGGAGAATGAGGAGATAAATCCCCAAAACAAAAAAAAACTTGGAATGGAAAGACCCTAACCCTAAGGACTCGAAAAACTTATAAAAAACGATGGATCCCCACTCCCTCCGGCCTCCGACGATATGCCGAAGGGGGGAGGAACGCGAGACGCAAGACCTGGCGGCTGCGTATCGCGACACGAGACCCTGTTGATGATATTATAGATTATTTTTGTACATACACTTTCACACACATCTACCCTAATTTAAATTCATATATATATAGAAAGCCAATCACATTTTTATGTTGGCCCACAGCCCCGATCCTGTCAGCTTTGGAGCTTCTCCGGCGACGCCTGCTCGATGGACAACGGACTCGCCTCCGTTGTCGACTATGCAAGGGCTGCCACAGGTGACCTAGGGAGGATGGAGAAGACTACCCACCTGGGTTTGGGCCAGTCAAGCACCGGGCCACCAGGCGGACACTGGATCTATGCTGACGCGGGACAGGCATTTGGCCCATGATGATGGTGACTCCTCCGCTGCACGCAGCCTCCGGAGCTTCACCAAACGAATACTTCGGAAGGTTGCCTCTCCGCTCTTGCCTCGACCGCCTGCACAACCGACATCCGCTACGTCGGTACTCCTACTGTGCAACAAGTGCTTGGCGGCTCAGGGCCTCTCTCGGGTGCCTGCTTCCCAGCGATGGGAGGTCCTCATTATGCCGCACATGGCCCTCACCATAGGATTCTCCGCGCCAAGCACGCCGGGAAAGAAGATATATCAGGACCTCTTCGAGACAGACCCAAGTGCTTCCATTGTCGAAGCATTGCACACCCTATTTCTAGACACTGGGGTAGGGACACCCTATTTCTAGACACTGGGGTAGGGACGCGCAAGAAGCCGCATCGACGGAAGGCCGTTTCTTGAGTCGAAGCGACACCCGTCTCTTGGTTGTTTAGCTTCTGAGTAATACAGTAACTTGTATCAATACACAAGGACGGTCTGGCCTTGTGCTGCTCCTTCTAAACCTCCTAGTGTGCTTAGTTAAAGCGCAACGTTTATATGTTTAAACTCTTCTACCTTAATGCAAAAAATACGCAAATTTTTTGTGTATTCGAGAAAAAAAGAACGTTTTGGTTTTCTAAATACATAGATTTTACTATGCATCTAGATATACACTATTTTCTGGATGCATAGTAAAAGCAATGTACCTAAGAAAGATAAAAACGTTTTCTAATTTTTTGAAAAAGAGGGAGTACATAATGAAATGCCCATTTTATGACCAGGCCATTACTTTCTGCTAGTTTTGTTTATATCTTCAACTTTTCTTATTAAAACGTACAAGAAATGGAAAATACTGACACAAGTTAGGTGCTATATATGATGACGATCCAAAGCTTTCCAAATCCAAAAAGACAAAGGTTAACAAGAATTGTATGTATCTGCTACTAAGATACAAATAGTTATGCTGGCATTGTAAGTTTCTGCCTTTTCGATGCCCACTAATATATGTTAGTCCGTATTAATATAAATTCATGTAAAAGAGAAAAAATAAAAATAACTTTTGTAACTTTATATTAGGCACACCACATTGTACTTAACACATAATTAGTCTCGAATTCATTACATAATTGCGTTGTACTAGTCTCTTCCTAAAATACCAAGCACTTTAAATATGGATCTCATGTTGACTCGTTCAAATGCTGGGTTAGAGAAAGAATAGCCATTCAGAACCACGATCATGCCTACTCATCACATCTTGTTCAGATGACGGAATCCAATGAGAAATTCAGTCAGCCACTGAACTTAATAATCATGCTTACTAAGGGTGATTATGCTCCTCCGTGCAAAACATATGAACATTGTGGGGGCCTTGATTTATTCATTTGAGAATTCAACATAAGGACACAATTATTTTCGCTACACAACCCTGCAAGCCAAAATTGGAAAAGAAAAATCTTAATTTCTTTGCTAATGAAAATGGTTGGTTCATGGCAATGCAGCCTTCAGGTTCTTGGCTAACTCTTCTAGCTTCTTCAATCCTTCTTCTGGAGAAGCAGCTTCCCCCAATAGCCTCACCATTGCGCTACCGATGATCACACCATCTGCGCCCCACCCTGCAATCTGAATAGTACAATAAACGAAGCAACAAGGGTGTCAAAGGACCTGCAGTAAGAAACAACCCCAGATAATGTACTTAGCAGGAGATGACAGCTATGATTTACCTGCTGCACATGCTCTGGAGTCGACACACCAAAGCCAACCACCACGGGTTTTTCTGTCACCTATAAAAGCAACATATTTTGTGTTAGCACTGTGTCCTTCGAACAGTACATGGGCTAGGCAGTAACATTGCTTCACTAACTAGCATTAAATAAGGATGATGCAATTGCAAACCTTCTTGATATCCTGAAGAAGAGATTGCACCTTGCCACTCACATTCGCACGTGTACCAGTAACTCCAACAGTGCTTACCTGAATAGCACATATGTTAGCAACTGACTCATCATCCATCCAGTTGTCTATCAAAAACTAAATCCCAAGAGGAACGACTTCACCCAACCCCCCAGGGGCATAGCATTAAGAAGAGGATCATCAAATGTATTAAAATATATGCAGCAATAGTAAAGTTTGCCTTACTACTACTGCATATATTATAGTTTGCTTTCCATTATATTTTTCACACAGTCCAAGCATGTCAGCACAGCTATCACCAGGATATTTTCTCGGTGGCTGAGAGTAAAGTTCCAGCGAAGTATGCCAGAGCAGATACATGTCTTTTCTAGGTTTAAGCTACCAACTTGAAATGGCACAGGTTGTTCAAAATGTTTGTTGACTCAATGTGTAATAGGTCTATTGTGCACTGCAATTGTTCTTCTTGAATCTTATGTATATTGGACTATTCTAAACTTCCAAATTATGTATTAGGAACAGAGGTATGATGTAACATAACAGATTTTTTACAAGTAGCTACAGAGTCTGAAAAACTTACAAGATAAATAAATCCTTCTGAAGCCTGTGCAATTTTCTCCATTCTTTCATTTGGTGTAGTCGGTGTTGTCAGTAGCACCTGCATATATTCATGCAAAATGAATCCTATCAAACAGCTAGCGTAAAAAAAAAACACTACCTCAAACTGCATAGAAGAAAGAGGAATAATTGTTATTCGCCCATATTTAGCATGGAGGACAGAGCAACCGATACTATGGCATTATGGACACGATCATGAGTTGTGAGTTCAGGATAGAGCCTGTATTTTTGAACTTCTGTACATTATTATTATTATAAACAAATATATTCAGGTATGCCCTCCCTTACTGTTTTCAGAAGAAAAAAAAGGAACTAAAACTAATAGTTAGATATTGTAGCTTAGAAGAAAAATAGAGGGGAAAATGTAATCACACAGGTTATGAACTATTGAAATATGCATGTAGTCTCCATATTCTTACTTCTGAATGTGCACAATTAAATAAGCACAAAACAGGATTGAGGGGGTTAAAAGGTATCTTGAAGTTGGACTTATATCTGGTGAAATTAGAGGGGCTAGATGCACTTATATTTGATGAACTTAGATAAAGGCTAGATTGACTTATATTTGGTGAAGTTAGAGTGTGGCTAAATGGACTTATATTTGGGATCAGAGGCAGTACAATTTGGTATCAGCATTTAAATGACATTTATCTAATCTGGGCCTCTCTTTAAACAAATAGAGGGTTCAGTGGAGCTCAAAAAAATGGCCAGACAAAACAGACACTCAAATCTACAGGGTTAGGGTGTACATCATAGCATAAGAGGGGGCCTACCAGCTCTAGGTTGTTTTTGGCAGCCTCACTCCTCAAAACATCTGTCTCTTCCAAAGGAACATCTGGTACCACAAGACCTGAATGACAGTGACAGCAATACATCGATTATCACACTGAACATGAATTCTGACAAGCTAATCCAACTCTTGTACAGGTTTTCCATTGGGAAGATTAGTCAGTATTGTTATCTGAACAGTGCTATGTGTTAGCCAGATTAAGATACAATGGAGGAACTAACACTTTAGTTAATGAATGTAATAAGTATTTGCCAATAATGGTATTTTAACGGGACTGAACATCACGAAAATGATGTGATTAATTAGATAAATATATATATATTACCATGTACACCAGCTTCTTTAACAATACTCATGAACTTCGGGATACCACGCTTCAGAATCGGGT